GTTCGTGGAGATCGGCAGCAAGGGCTTCTGTGTGCCGCCGGATCTGATGCAGGACGAGGAGGGTCAGTCCAAGCAGGACTCCAAGAACGGCGAGGGCTTTGGCCTGGAGGACGGCACCGGGGAGAACGATGCCTCCGATAAGATCGAGTCCGAGGATCAGCTGGACGATGCCAAGCGGCCAGAGGACCGCAAGGACGAGGGCGACAAGCAGGAGCCCGACTGCAAGGAGGAGAAGGGCATCGAGATGAGCGACGACTTCGATGCCAAGATGCAGGATGTGGAGAAGCCCGAGGAGGATGACAGCGGTGAGTCCGAAGAGGAGGAGGACGATCTCAACAAGGAGATGGGTGAGACGGAGGAGGGAGCCGAGAAGCTCGACGACCAGATCTGGGGCGATGACGAGGAGAAGCCCGAGGAGGAGGAGCAGGAGCCGGAGATGAATGAGGAGGATCAGGGCAAGGGCAGCAAGGATGAGAAGGATGCGCACAACGATCTGGACACGAAGAACGATGCGGCCAAGGAGGATGGCAAGGATGAGCACGAAAAGGATGGCTTGGATGCCACCAATGAGCCAAGCGGCGAGGACAAGCGCAAGGAGCAGGCCAAGGACATTGACGACATGAAGGACCCCGAAATGGACGAGGAGCAGACCAATGCCATGCACAACGAGCTGGAGGAGCCGCCAGAGCCCGAAGAAATGGACCTGGGCGACATGAATAACGTGGACGAGGGTCACGACGATCAGGAGGAGCAGCAGCCCACGGACGAGAATCCCTTTGACATTGACGCCATGAAGGAGAACATGCAGCCGGCCGAGGAGCCCGAGGCTGATGGCGAAGAGGAGCCTGCGGCAGAGGAGGAAGGTGATCCCCAGAGCGACGGCAGTGACTCCGAGGAAGATGAGGCGGGCACCGAAGCGAAGCCAGGCCAGGAGGATCAGGGCGAGGGCGACGAAGCCACTCCCGAGGACGAAAAGGAGGAGCCGGAGACTCAGACACGCGGCGAACTGGACGAAGCAGACGAAGCAAAGCCCGAGGATTCTCCCGAGGATGCCAAGGAGGAAGAGGAGGAAAAGCGCGAGGAGAAGCCGGAACAGCACACCCAGTCCAAGGACAAGGCCAGCAAGGAGGAGAATGTCCAGTCAATGCCGGAGACCGAGCAGAGCAGCTCAGCGGACCAAGTGCAGCAGCCGCAGGACCCGGATATCAAGCAGGACCAAAAGCTCGACGAGCAGGAGACGGGCGAGGAGAAGGATGGCGTTGGCCAGGCCGAAAACGATGTGAGTTTTGGTTTCAATTACATTTGATTCAACTCTTGAACACAACTCTACTTGAAACCCATTTGCAGACCAACGATGGTGGCCATCAGGGCATTGCGGAGACCCAGGAAACGGTGTCCCAAGAGGAGCGCAAGAACGAAAGGCAAACGCAGGAGAAGCGCAAACAGGGGAGAACCAACGAAGAACGATCCTTAGGTAAGCAGGCCAAATAATCATTCACATTCACTTCCATTTTAAACAACTTATTAACTTGCAGGCGAAGCGGAGCAAAACAAGTTGAAGCAACTCAAGACAATTGACCAGCTAAAGGAGTCCAAGGAAGCGGACAGTGCTGACCAGGAGAAGCCAGAACCCACGGAGCAGGCAGAAGCCGAAGAGTACCAGCACGTGAAGGAGCCCAAAAACAGCGACAAGACCACGCTGGACAATGCCACCGAAGAGCAGTCCAAGAAGATTCAGCACCAGGAGGATGAGCCACCGAACGAGGATGAAAATGAGGCGGAGAATGCGAACGAATTGATGGAAACCGATGAGCCAGCAGTCGCACCGGAGGATGATGCCCAACTGGAGCAGCTGGGTGCCGAGAAGACGGAGCAGAAGTCCGACAAGCCGTCCAAGACGGATCAGTCGAAGGAGCGCTTGGATACACCCGAGGGCATGGAGATTGAGGGCGAAGTGGTGCCCACCATGACGGTTCCTCGTAGTGCTGAAACCACGGCGCACAGCAAGTTAGTACTGGACACTTTCTTTTTCTATGTTATTTTGTATTTAAACAAATCTTTATGTGATTAAACAGCACCGAAATCCTGCTGGACAAAAGCTCGCAGGCCCAGGAGCTGAGCTCAGCGGAGCAGATGGAGCTGCGGCAACAGTATCAGCAGCAACTGACCACATTCCGAGGGGTAGGTTTTCCGACATTTGATATGGTTATGCCCATACTAAACGATTTGTTCCAGGCACAGCCGCAGCACGAGGACTACGAGAGTTGGCAGGGCATCTCCAACCGCATGACCCAGAATGCTCGGGAGCTGTGCGAGCAGCTGCGCCTCATCCTGGAGCCCACCAAGTGTACGCGGCTGAAGGGCGACTACCGCACTGGGCGGCGCATCAATATGAAGAAGATTATCCCTTACATCGCTTCGCAGTTCCGCAAGGACAAGATCTGGCTGCGACGCACAAAGCCGGCGCAGCGTGACTACAAGATCACCATCGCCATCGACGATTCCAAGTCGATGCACCACAACAACTCCAAGACGCTGACTCTGGAGGCCATCTCCCTGGTGTCGCAGGCACTCACGCTGCTGGAAAGTGGTCGACTGAGCATCGTGTCCTTCGGGGAGGCGCCGCAAATCGTCCTTAATCACACGGAGCAGTTCGACGGGCCACGCCTGGTGAATGCCCTGAACTTCGACCAGGACAAGACCAAGATAGCCGGCCTGCTGGACTTTATACGCACGGCCAATGCGGAAGAAAGCGGCCTGGGCGGCGATAATGGCCTGTTTGAAAACCTTTTGCTTATCCTCAGCGATGGACGGAATATATTCAGCGAGGGTGCGCAGAAGGTCAAGAACGCCATAAAGCTGGCGCGATTGCAGCGCATCTTCCTGGTTTACATCATCATCGACAATCCGGACAACAAGGTAGGGAATTTTGTTCTTAATCCATATGAGCTTTATTGATTTTTGATTACTTTTAGAACTCCATTCTGGACATACAGCATGTGGCGGTAAACGCAGATGGCTCAGTGAGCATCAGTTCCTATCTGGAAAGCTTCCCGTTCCCCTACTATGTGATTGTCCGGGACCTCAACCAACTGCCCCTCGTGCTAAGCGAAGCCATGCGGCAATGGTTCGAGCTGGTTAACAGCGAGTAACCCATATATGCTGACACTATTCAGTATAGTGGGCAACAAAGAACTCTCCTAACGACTTACCCCGAAGATAGCCTACAATTACGTTTTTCTTTTAGATTTATTACTGGCTTTGTTATGATGCCACCTAGATATATATTGCACTTGTAAATAATAATTTTTACGAATTGAAAATGTAACGATTTTGTTATTTGAGGCGCACTAACATAGCTGCAACTTAAACTCTTTCGGATATGAATGTAATATATATTTTTTGACAATTACAATTTGTATATAAACAACACTCTTTTTATTTAAAAGTATTTTTTATTTATTTACTTTATTAATTTACGAAGCAACACGGATATTTTGAAAACTCTTGGATATTTCGGGAACAATAAACGCTGAAATTACATAAATATTGAAGCACAACCTAGGAATGATAACTAGAACTGGATATTAATATATTGCATTTATACAATATAATATACAACCCTTGAAGGTTATGATCTTTTTAAATCCAAGTGTGTATCCATATTTTTTTAATATTTATCCAAAATCGCACCAATTTTAAACTCCGTCCATACTGGATTCGATGAACAAATGACTAACAGGAAGAAAAAGGTTATCCAATGATAATTGCTTATCTTATCACATTAAATGTGACAGAAGATTATTATCAATCAGTGAAGGATATTTTAATCATAAAGACCAAAACAAACATTGATAAGTTTTTAAAGAGTTCAGAAGTCATTGGGCGATATCATTCAATAAAAAGTTATAAATCGTCAAAGCTGTGGAAGACCCAACTCCATTCAAAAAAGAATATTGGTGGAACGCGACACAGTTCCAAGGAAATCGCTTAATAAAACGCAGCTTAGACTAAACCTTCCATTGGTGTAAACATAAGTTGATAAGATATAAAAAAAGAAAACTATTAAAATGATCCCAAAAGTTCGAAAAGAGTCACAGCCTAAGCAGCCAGCCAAGTAGTACAAAAGTACTTAAGAAGTCGCCTAAAAATAACTTTTATTTTTGCACAACAACTATCACTATGGACGACAGTACAAGTAGTGACGATGCGCACCAAGAGCGTGTGCTATTATATAGCCGCAGAATTGAAAATCTGCTGTGATGGTGCGATCGTGACGACTAATACACCAATCGAAAGGTATCGCTAAATGAATAAGAATTGGATACCAAGTGACATACTAAAAATTTGTTTAAGTGGAGTTCCTAAGCTTGGGTTGGTAAAATATTACACTTTTTCACACAGTTTCAATTTTATTAAAAATACGCGTCGAGTGACACCAAATTTGCTTGGATACGATGCTCTGTTCTTAAATAAATAAATAAATTTTTTAAATGTTCCCATTCGTTACGCTCAAATAAAAAATGCCTGTGTAGGCAAAATACCTGGATGAAGTGGTCCGAATTGAAACATTTAAAAAGTGTATTTATTTAGTCAAATGCTTATTCATTTTTCTTCACTAAATTTGATATTAGATGTTTTATATGTTGAAGGTGCAATCGTCACGACTTTATTTTACCTCGTTAAGAGGTGTTTTAGTTTGATATGAATTCAGTTGCTAAGTAGTAAAATTATCTGTACAATCCAACATTCGGTTCTGCTAAATAAAATCAATAATATTAAAAAAAAAAATAATCAAAAATGACCTAAATTTTAAAATTAACCCAATCCTTCCAAATTTTTTTTAGTTTAAACAACTTTTAATTTATTTTCAATTTGAAAATGGATTGATTGATTTTTTTCAACAAGAATGCAAAGTGGTTAAAAAATTAAAACATTTCGCAGCACTTGTTCCTAAAAGCAAATTTTTTTTTATTAATTTTCACTTTAACACAGCGATTTTACGCCTGAACCAATGTATTTTCGTTTGCACACTATTTTCCATAAGTGACCTGTTTCGATTGGGGTATTACTCGTTATATTCGTGACCAACGTAGTAGATTTTCACGTTTCTTTGCGTTTTGCTGCTGTCTACCGAGATGGGTAAAGAACACTCTATAAAGCTTGCAGATAACGCTGTTTGAAATGAACAGTGCAAAATTGTCACTGCAATTAGTATTTGCTGGAGACTCGGACCTACAAGATCAGTTGCCTAAGTAGTAAAGTTGTATTATTGAAATTGATGGACATCCTAAATACGCCTGTACAGCTTGTGTATTCTGCTGGGATAACGAAACATGAAAATAAATTAGTAATCGGCATAAATACTTTTTGTAATCCATTAAAAGAATTGTCTTACCTTGTGTGATATTTGGAAAAGTTTACCAGTGTGTTCATGCTCTTAAAAATTTCTTGGGCTTAAAAATAATAATTATATTAATTTAAAAACAAAAAGTGTGAGTGTACTTAAGTGGAAAATTATTTATTCTAAAAGTTTGCAATTTTTAAAACAACTTTTATTTTGAATTTTCCTGTTATATGATTTATATTTATTTAGAACACTTCAATTTTTGGAGATATGTCTCTTCAGATCGTAAGTACAGAGTAAATTATATAAATTAAAAAAAAAAATATAACAAGTAAATGTTTTAACAAGGATGCTCGAGCGGGTATAATGCCGTTGGGTTATGTTGTCAATTCTTGGAAAAAACTTTTGCCGCCATATGTCTGCATATTGAATCACGAGAAATTTCCGCATACTTCAGAGCTGAGTCCACAAGGCAGCTCAAAGGATGTCGAAACTCTGCGCAAATCCTTTGGAAGGTTAGAATGTGAGATTGAGGAAGTTCCCAATCCCACTCTGGCGACGGTTAAGGAAACGATCAGGAAATGTATGCACCCAAGGAAACCAACTTTGGCTTCTTGACATCAATTCATTTCTTACAGTGGCTCTTAAAAGTTTCGTGCATCTGTCTGCTTTGGTCATTGTCATCCTGACCCAAGACGACCAAAGCGAGAAGATAGTTACGTGTGACAATAAAGGGTACCTTCTGTACGAAGATATTTTATTTCCGCTCGACCAAAATGACACCCTAGCAAATAAACCCAAAATCCTGATCATCCAGGCTTGCAAAGGCGTTTGGGAGTCGGATTCTAAGAGAATTAAAAGGAATCTCCCCTTCTGTACCAAGTGCTACAGCTCGACCGAACGCATCGATAGCAATCGTATCCTGACAGATGAATCGATTTTTATTCGAACCCTGTGCAATAGGTTGGACCAGGACGGCCTTTCAAAGGACATCCGATCGATTATTGCTTATGCAAATGCGAACGTCGAGTGGCATGCTAAATTACTTGGGTAAATGATGTAGCGATCAAATATTAAATATTTTACTCTATGTTTTTGGATCTTCTTTTATTGATTATTAATTGTAATATTTTCCTATTGCAGATGGAAGCAAGTTCCATCGATAACGTCGATTCTTAAACTACCATTTTGTTTTGGAGACTTCGTGCGGCTCGCAACGTAAGAGATTAAAATAGCAATCAAACAAAAGAAGTTCAATAAATTCTATTCTTTTCTAATAGTGATACAAGTGCAAGGACATCTCCTGTTGCCCATTTTTCAAGCACGTCAACTACGAGTGCAATACCAATGATACCTCCAGTTAGTAAAGAGCCAGGGACTACGATTACAATTCCTCAGCGGAAACTCCAAGCCCCATTGGTATACATATTAAATCATGAAATATTCATAAATACAAGTAAAAACCGAACTGGAAGTTCGATAGATGTCGAAGCTCTGCGAAGTACTTTCGAAAGCTTGAACTGCGATGTGCACGAGGTTCAAAACCCCACATTAGCTGCGGTGCAAGACACCTTTAAAAAATGTAGGTATTCCGAAGGGTATTTTTTGTATTTTGGATTTAATTGATATGTTCCAGTGGAAAAGGAGAACCTGGAACTCCGCTCCGCGTTGGTCATCGCCATTCTGAGCCATGGCGATTGCAATGAGTTGATCGAGGCATGCGACGATACGGCCTACTACTTGAACAAGGACGTTCTGTTTCCCCTTTTCAGAAACGATACTCTTAGAGGCAAGCCCAAAATACTGATTGTGCAGGCCTGCAAGGGATCTTTGCAGGCGGATTCAAACCCAATGAGGTGCAATCCCGGGGACTACATCATCTGTTACGGAACCACCGAGGGATTCGAAGCCTACCGACACACTTCCCTTGGGTCGCTTTTCATTCAAACCCTATGCCAACACATGAATATATTCGGAAAGGTCAAGGATTTCCAGACAATCATACAGGGAGTGAACGAGACGGTCACTAAAGAAGCTCCCAAACAATTGAAGTTCGTATATCTTGGCTTTTGTAATAGTATTTATCGCTTTACTATATGTTATGGCTTTGTTTTTTTCAGAAAGCAAATGATACCATCGTTTACTTCATCGTTGGGAGAAAAAAAATTTTATTTTTGGCAAAACACCTATGCAGAAAAGGTCTCCATTGATAGACATTTATCTGAAGATATTTCTACCTTATCTCTAAGTTAAAACTGGACTGCAGTACATTAGCTTTCGAATGAAAAAAACACAATTTCATTAATAAAGAAATAATGATAAAAAAAATCCCACCATAAGGTTTTGAAAAAAAAACTAAATAGTAATAATAATTTTTTATATTTCCTTCATATTTTTTAAGAGTTCAAATAAAATCATATTTATATATGAAGTAGGCTATAATGTTCATATCGGCACTGCTCTTGATTTTGGTCACAAACATATAATTTAAATAATCGGAAAACTCGGTTATTAATAATTTATTAGGTACTTTATTGCTTATTATTATTCCTTATCTGCAGTTTGCTTAATCAATTTCGGTCAATGATAGTGTTATTAGCATTAGCACTTCATGTTTCGCGACCGGATGAAGAAATGACTAACAAGCGGAAAAAGCTAAAAGACCGATAATTTCTTATCTAATAAGATTTAACAATTGAATATGTTTGAAAGGGGGTAAATACCAATCAGTAACTGAACTCATAAGAAATCTCGATCAACAGTTAAAATAAAAGTTTGCCAATTTAATCAATAACTTGTGTGTACTAACTTCATTTTCTGATTTCATTGGGATATATCAGGAAAAAGCAATGCTTAGTAATCTTTGAGATAAGGTCTTGTGGTCATTGAACTGAAAACAGTGATTTTAATCATACAAAACGCAATTAAATGAATCAAATATTTATTATATTATTAGTCCAAACTGCTTTCATTATAGAATACTATATACAGTGCAAAGATTAACGAAAGCTGTTCAAAAAAGCAAAAGATAAAAAAGTTAATCAATAAAAAATAAAGCAAATGTTTAATATTATTATTATGAACTATGTATAAGCCACTTAATCTTAGGGTTTTCATACTACGAGCCCACAATTTCCTCCTCGAAATATACACATATGTCCCCTTGCATTTCAAATATTTGAGCTAATAACTCATAAAAAGCTTTCAGATAACCCAGGTGTCGATAAGAATAGCTGCACATTGTTCACCAAAATTAGTCTTAGGTATGTATTTGAATCGGCAAGAACTGAAAATTGAAGGTGTGCCCAATTAAAGAGCTCATTGTAATATCAAATATTTGTAACTCCCAACAGGAATTAGGAGGCAAAATGAATACGCCTGTGCAGAATTCCAATTCTGTTGAAAAATATCAGCCCATATCTGAGGTCTTTCAATGTGTGAGTCTATCAATCCCTACAAATGAATAATCTAGCATTGAATAATTTTATTAAATACAATTACTTTTCAATTGAGAAAGTTGGTAGAAAGATTTTTCAAATATATCAACATATCAATTTCTATATTGTACATACGTAATCAGAGTGCGTCTCTTTATTTGTTTATTTATGTGTTTATTGTATTTTAATTAAACTATAATTGCTAATATAACGAAAGGATGCCCAAGGTAGCCTGCCACGGGAATCAAACACTGATTTTCGGCAGAACCTTCTGCCGCCACATGTCTGTATATTCAATCACGAGGTATTTCCGAATAAACCACAAATGAATCGAAGAGGCAGCTCAAAGGATGTTGAAAATCTGCACAAAACCTTCAGTAGCCTTGAATGTTCGATTGAAATAGTTTGCAATCCCACATTGGCTATGGTTAAGGACACAGTCAGGAAATGTGGGTAATGAAAGTGCGAAAAATGGAGCTTCTGATTTTAATAATATTTCTTACTGTCAGTAATGACTTTCTTTTTTTCAGGAGGGAAATGATACCATCGTATACTTCGACGTTAGGAAAGAAGAAATTTTACTTCTGGCACAACACCTACACGGAATAAGTTACCATCGAGTTGAACTTATGTGTACAATTCTAACATTAAAACTGTCAGCAAACGCTGAGACAACCCAAATGCTACATTATAACATTATAACTTTGTTGATTCTACGAGTTTCGTTTCATTGTATGCAATTTGGCATTATTCAACTGCTTAAAGTAATGACGTGTTTCGTCAAAGTCCTAACCGTTCTTCGAAGTTATAATGCGATTCAGTATTTCTCCACTAGAAATCTCGGCATCCATACCGCGAATAGCCTTGTCGTTCACTTTTTGTTGTGTAGGAAATTATGAATTAATTGAGACATGTACAACATCTGCTATGTACATCATCCGTCGATCAGCTGATAGTATGTTATATTATGGACTTTATTAACTATAAATGAATACCTAATGGATGACCTGGTGGTCATTAGATATTATTCTAACTCCATGATTGCGAACAGCGTTCTGAAATTGCGATACAAAGACATAAATGTTTTTCGGCAGATAAGGACTGGGCAGGGGCTGGTCAAAAACTAATATTGGTGATCTTGGCCGAGCTATATATGTATTTGGCTGCTTATCTTGAGACAGGCACCCCATAAGCAACAACATAAGAGAGTTGAATGAAGATCGACAACCGATAGTCAAGGATCCGATACTCATAAAGAATGCATAAAATAACTAGGAATATGATCTTGTATAATTTATTTATATTACTCTTAAAAACTAAAGACACTTAAACCAAAGGATCATCAGAAAGAATGCATATGCATTATTAATTGAAGTTCCTTTCCCTACAGGAAACTTTTAATTGCTTGCATAAACTATAAAGCAAAGGAATTACAACAAATAGAAAGTCTTACTTGATTTATTAAAATATAGGTTTTGCAAAAATGATTTGGCAACTCTTAAAACTCTTATCTTTGAGATAACGCATGCGGCAAAAACGGCAATGTTAATCACTCTTAATTATGGATTCGAATCGACAAGAGCTGCCGCTGGGAAGTGGAGAGGTTCTGAAGTAATCAAGTACCAAGTTTATTCCAATAATTTTTCCTTTGTAGTCTCAACAGGAAGTAAGGGACGAAGTTGCTTCGACAGCACAGGATGTCAATTCCGCCAAGAAATTTCAGGCTATATCTCAGGTCTTTCCGTGGGTAAGTACTGAATGGATCTACATGACTAATCTGTTCTTTGTGTTTTTGTTTGTTTTTTTTTTATTTTATTTAATTCATTTGGGTTTTCAATGCAGGTTCTAGTAATTTTTTACGATCATACCTATCAGTACCTATTATTTTTAGAAGTTATTGAGTTAAGTTATGTGCCGCTGCTTTGTTTTTGTGGAGTAACGGGTTTATATTTTTTTTTATATCTATTCAGGGCAGCGAAAAGTTTGCTGAACTGGTCAGTGAGGATGCGACTACCGATGATACACCGCCCAGAAAATTCCAACCCGCTAGTATGCTTTTCCAGTTCGTGAGTAAATTATAAATTATTAACAATATTCCAGAAACTATTTGTTGTAATTGTTTTTAAAAGGATGCTCGAGGGGAGATAACTTCAAGTGCTCCTGTTCTATTAGAATCCTTCGATCCTCCGCAGAAACTACTGCCGCCATATGTCTCCATATTAAATCACGAGGTATTTCCGAAAAATCCAGAAACGAATCGACAAGGCAGCTCAAAGGATGTCGAAGCTCTGCGCAAAACCTTTGGAATGCTAGAATGTGAGATCGAAGAAGTTCCTAATCCCACACTGGCCACGGTTAAGGACACGATCAGGAAATGTGGGTGACGTAGAAGACCAATGTTGTCCTATTGATATCAATTCATTTCCAACAGTGGCTCTGAAAAGTTTCCTCACCCTGTCAGCTTTGGTCATCGTCATCTTGAGCCATGGAGACCAGAAAGATAAGATCCACACGTGCGACGATAAAGCATACAACTTGGATGATGACATTTTATTTCCACTCTTCCAGAATGAATCTCTGGCAAATAAACCCAAAATCCTAATAATTCAGGCCTGCAAAGGCGCTTGGCAAGCGGATTCTAGTATAATCAAAGCGAATCCCTCATCCTACATTAAGTGCTACAGCACGACCGAGGGCTTCAAGAGCTATCGTCACCCCAAAAATGGATCGCTTTTCATTCAAACTCTGTGCAATTTGATGGATCAACATGGCCTCACGAAGGACTTTCGCTCAATCATTGAGGATGTAAACGCCAACGTCGAGAGGCAAGCTATATTTCATGGGTAAGTACAAGTACATACATTAACACCATTGATAATTAAGTTAAATGGCGTCAATTCGTTTTACAGATGTAAGCAAGTGCCATCAATAACATCGACTCTAAGGCAACCATTCTGTTTTGGAGACTTTGTGCAGCACACAACAAAAGTTAAGTCATAAATGTAAAATGCAATTTATGATTGTTTGATCTGTTTGTCTGAACTGTCTATATCACTTATATACGACAAAGCAAATTTGCTGATATAGGGAACAGCACCACTTTTGTTTTAATAAATGATTAAAGAATTACTTTTATATGTTATTATGTACGATTTTCACCAAAGGATAGCAATTAAATCAAATGCTATTGGGGTTGCGAACTCTTGCATAACTCAATACAGACTATTTTTAAACGGATCATCAAACTTCCATGACTTCATTATGATTTCTAACTTCAACGTAAAACGAGTAGACGACGATCCAGAAGTATATACCACAGCCTGTAAAGCAAGCTCTTAGGAGTAATAGGTGTCCAAGGTGCAATTCTCAATGAGAAACTCACAGATATATATGGCCGATGCTGGAACAATTATCTCCCGGTATCGCTCTTCGAAAACCAGCAGGTAGATGCTGTACACCGTGAGGATGATGCAGTTGGTCAGGCTGGTGATGAGGAAGAACATCAGCAGGACGGTCGATCTCTGTAGTGGTGTTTCAAGATGGGATCGTGGGATCGTGGGATCAGCTACTGGAGGTGCCATCTGGACTTACGAGTAGAGCTCCGCCCATCAGGAAAATGCAGCCAATGCAGTGACAGATGGCCACCGCCTGCTCGATGTGTGCGATGAACTCCTCTGATAAATGTGGGATGGGGATTAATTACCGGAATGGATCAATATCGGGCACTTACGACCGGCCATGTTCAGCACCACCACGTTGACTAAAAAATCCACCACGGCGATTAAATAGCAGGCCTTGTGCAATTTAATGCAACAACAGCATCTTCGGATTTGGCACATTTTGAAATTTTGATCACTAGAAACCTGACAACTGATTGAAAAGGCAGGGCCATTGTCAGAGAACCAAAGGTTTTATTACTACCAGCACCGTAAAATTTGATACAACAACTAGGTGGCATAAGATCAGGATCAGGCGATCTCAGAGGAACAGAGCTCCTCCCAAGGCGGCATAGAAGGAGTAGGCCACCAGCCAGAAGTATAGGCAAATAACTGAAAGGTTTGGTTTGAGTATGAGCAAAGAGAAAAAAAACCACAATACCACTCACAGAACATAAAGGCATAGGTGATCATGACCCAGAACCAAATCTCTAGTATGACGTCTGATGCAATAAGTATTAGCATGGCCAATGCCATGATCATAGTCATTATTATGTAGAATAGCATCCAGTTGCTTCTTAGCTACATGAAATGATCAAATTTAAAGCTAAAGTTATGAAATGAGGGTGGATCTCACCCGAAAGCAGCCGATGATCAGGAAGACGCAGCTCAGAATGTGCAGCATCATGAAAATAATGAACAGAGTATGGCCCAAATCGGGAATGCCTAAACGGGGTTATCGGGATAAATCGGGACAATCTTCCGGAAGACCCTCTCGTCACTCACCAGACTCCCCAAATAATGCCACAAAAGTCCCTCCCAGAACATCGGCTAAAATGTGCAAAACGCCGATTATAATGGTACCGATACGCAGATCCACGCAGCAACAGCAATTCTGTAGGTAGATCATCTTGCCGATGGTCTATCGAGTTTTAAGGCCCTTCGTTTTCACTGGGTTAAGACTTTCGGTTCGAGTGAGGGTTTTTTAGATTGTTGGCAATTGTGTAGGTTTTGACACTGAACGCAAAGTTATTAACAAGGACGTTTTTATATTGTTTTTGTATGAAATTAAAGCAATGAGTTTCAAAAGTAAAACAACAAATTTAGGAGGTTTGTCCCACATACTCGTAAATTTGTAGCCCCAATTTTATTGGCACAGTAAAGGTGTACAATTCATTTTACTTGCAGCTTTTTATTTAACACTTTCTTATCGTAAGTAGAAAACATATTTTGAATTAATTTTTAGCGTGATATATTTGTACAAATTTTTTTCCCATTACTCAATAAATCAAACACACCTGGGAGGTAATACACTTACACTTACTCACAAGTAAGAAACCCTTTTATTAAGAGAGTTTCCCGAATTTATATGCATTAAAAATAAAGTATTATAGTAAAATTGATTTTACTTTTTCAATTACAACTTAAGTATTATAGTAAAATTGATTTTACTTTCAGCTTATACCTATCTCAATATATTTTTTTCCTAGTTCTACCGTAAAACCCTAAGTATTCCTAGTTTTTAGTCTTATAATCATAGCCCATTTTCTGATCTTAAAAACTAAGTTTATTTACGAGGTGGGTTCTTCTTGACTCATGGGTTAGTAACCCCTTGCTAAAGTAGGCGACCTATAAACATTTAGTTGCAGATCGCCGATCCAATGACCGTCCCTGGCCCACCAACGGAATGTGCGATCGTGTCAATCGAGTTATATAATAAATTACAAGTGAACATCGCAATCGACCATTAATGCGGCGTATGCCTTTGGCAAATATTGGCCGAAAAGAAAAAAAAAAAAAGGCCGGGAAGACCCAACAAAACAGGCAGAACGTGACAACGACGGGCCCCTCCCCGTCGATCTTTCTGGCCGAGCAGTTTCGGTTTCGTTTTCATCATCACCCGAATGAATCTAAAGGCGAGTCCCCATCGGAAACGGAATCCAAGTCCACTCATTTATCGAAAACGCATACGAAAACGAAACCGAATCGGGCACAGTGCGCTGGCTCATTTGTATGCATCGCGGATTGCTGGCGGGGATTGAAGAGCTCCGCGTAACGCGATTGGGAAGCCATCGGAAATATTATGCAAAAGGCGGGGGTTATACAAATCACACACATCGTCTGCCGGCGAAGGCGGCATATAAAATGCCCGATTGACCTGCAGCAGTAGCTTCATTCGCAGCCGAACCATCGACAAGATCAACATGCAGACGCAGTGTGTCCTCCTCCTCCTGGCCGCCAGTCTGGCCATATGTGTGGCCCGTCCGGAGCCGCCAAAGTCCCGCTATGGACCACCACCGCCGCCGCCGGCTCCCCAAAAGGAATACGGACCCCCGGCTCAGGTGGCACAACCCTTGCCAAGCTACGGACCACCAGCCGCCTTCTATGGACCACCACCAGCCACTTCGGAGGCCTTGGTCACCAAGAACGTGTACGTGCATGTGCCGCCAGAGGAGCCGGAATTCTATCCGGCCTCCTCGCCCATCCAGACGGCCGTGCCCAAGAAGCACTACAAGATCATCTTCATCAAGGCGCCAAATCCACCCACCCCGGTGCGCCAGGTGCTGCCGCCGCCCGTGCAGGATGAGCACAAGACCCTCGTCTATGTGCTGGTGAAGAAGCCCGAGGAGCAGCAGCCCCTCATCCTGCCCGCTCCCGAGCCCACGGAGCCCAGCAAGCCGGAGGTGTACTTCATCAAGTACAAGCAGCAGCAGCCCAGGCCGGCCACCCAGTACGGACCACCACCCTCCGCCCCCGCGGAGGAGTACGGAGCACCACCTGCCCCCCGCACCCTCGAGCAGTTCTAGTTTGTAGTGTCGATTAGGTCCACAGCCCATGAATGTACATATTATTTATGATCGCTGCCATTAAAGAGAGTTTAGAAAATGCAAAACAAAAATCTGTGTTTATTGCCAGATCTTCAAGGATAATTATCCATGAATTTCTACATACAATGACTTCATATATGTAAGATGTTTTATATCCTGGTATAATGGCAAATGTATATCTATAATAGCTACTAGATAAGGGAGAAAGCTGGATCTGCAGAATTTGCATTTTTACATATTCAAGGTGATATGGATAACTATTCATATCTTGTTTAGTTATTGTCATATATGCAAGGAACACCTTACACCCTAAATTCCCAACTTATGAAGGTCAATAGCTGTAGCTTACAATAAAAAAAAAGACAAGGTAGATAACGTAAAATACTTAATTGAGGATTTGAGAGAGTTTAAAAAATGCAACATTTTTACAGATTCAAGGCCAGACATGTATAACTATGACAACACATTCAAGGTTAGACATGGATTATTATGATAAGTTGAGTTATGTCATAGATAAAAGGGGTTCCCGGTCCTGAAAAGTTGACATATAAGAAGATAAGATAAGGAAGGTAAGGGAGATGGCGGAAGATATTTAAATTTATTACATATTGTTTGATATGAACACTTTCCTATCGTGGGAGGTTATTGTTAAAAAAGAGTTTAATGCTAGAGTGGCTTCTTGACTTCCTTCATAAAATACAGGCCATATTATTTAGGAAAACATTGACTTAAACTATATTATACATTCCTCCTTATGTAAGCTCTTTTTCGGATCCTGAACTCCTGGCATACGAAAACCAAAAACTGCATCTTAACAATGGTATGTCGATGCGAAATGAGCTCAGCACTCAATATTTGTTTTATTGATGAGAGAGCCCTTGTTGAATACAAATGAGTTTTTACTTTAATAACAAACAGTGTCAACAGAAAAGATTGTTTACCGATAAATGGTAAGTGAAAAAGGTAAAGAAAAAATCGAAAGCAATTAGTTATAATTGGGCTTTAAACACATTAAATATTTTTATTTATATACAATTAAATTATTTTGTTTTAATAATCATGAAGTATTTATGAAGTTAAGAAATTTACATTTTAACTGGTTCCTCCAGCAATGATGGTTTTTGTGCCTATTGGGAATAATGTAATTAAATATTGCTCCTCGTTATTCAATTATCTAACTACGCAGCTAAATCATCTAAAAATTATTGAATTTAAATAAGATTTAAAAAATAAAATGTATATTATATTATTAAAAATATAAAAGAACTCATTTGTCCTTCAATTGATCGTAGTAGGAGTAGACCACCAACCAAAAGTACAAGCCAAGAACTGGAAATGGGTAGTTAAGCAATCTTTACAAATACCTTTCATAATAAGTTTATCTTACGGGATTGGAGAACATCAAAGACAAGATAGTCGTTGATAATGCCTTCCGTGGCCACGAACACGCCCTCGGCAACCAAAATAAAGAAACGGAGGCAGGACACCGTAAGATATGGCCACAGAAAGCTTCGCAGTCCCTGAAATTGAGGATTTTTATATCCTAGGAATCGAAGCTATCGAGGGAACTCACCAAAACGGCTCCGAGCAGAAGGAATATGCAGCAGATGACGTAAGTACCGCTCACTATGAGGGACAAAAGTCCCAACAGACTGTCGCCTGTCGAACAGGGTTACATCCAATTTATATATATATATATATATATTCAGGCCACTTACGATCCACAAAGAACCGATCCAGCCCGCGGATGAGCACCTCAACGATGGCTATCAGGATGCAGCCGCACTTAAGCTGCACACAGCAACAGCAATTGTCCGAGTAAATCATTTTTGGTTCGGTAGTATGATAGTTTTTCCAAACCCGTCTCAGATATTTCCCTCCTGGCCCACTGACTTACAACAACAGGTAATTATGTTTGAGCCGGCCATTCTGATCACGTTTCATGTTCCACGGCTGTGGTCTGCATAATTAATCGGCTTTGTATGGCAAACAACAATTAGGGTCATTGCCATCAAATTGCAGTGCAAGATTATCATTCGATGGCCTATATTTTACACATTAGAGAACTTTTAATAACCCAAATAAATGTATAAACCATATTTCTTAAATTATAAAATGTTTATATTAATATTTATATTTTCTACCTTTCTAAATACATGGCGGCAAAACTTTGATAAGAGAATTTATAAATTATTTAAACCTCAATTTTGGAGGTGATCAATTTTAAGTCAGTAGATTAGCTTAAAGCCTAAGTTTATATACTATACTATTGCAAAAACTGAACATCTAAATTTCGAGTTGTAATAAAAACCTTTAAAGCTTTGATGATTCTCACTTAAATTATTCGATCGTTCCTATTGCAGCTTTATGATATCGTTTTCTTATTTTAATAAAATTAAATGCGTAATTCTGAATTATGGAATGGTTTACCATTGTCGAAAAATCATTTTTTTTTTGTTTTCCAATTGTTTCCGTGGGAGCTATGCGATATAGTCGTCCGATTTTGATCAAAAAGTTGAAGAACAGTAGTGTAAAAATATGAAATTATAATACCATCCCCTCTGCAAGGGTATAAAAATAATGTATTTGATAACAAGTTACATTAATGAAGATTAATACAGATTTATGAGTTAGAAACCACTTTAAAATTAAGTCCCCTGGAGAAAGGATACATGTCCCAAATGTTCTCAGTTACATTAATATTTATTCAGCTAAATGAATGTACAAGAGCCGAAGCTCTTTGCGTCTTGACAGCAGCAAAGTATCAAGACTTGCAAACGGGAGAATGTTGAGTTGTAAATGTAAATGTAAATGTAAGAGCATTAATTTAGAATAATAATAATAATAATAGTTAAATGCGAGGAGACTTATATCTAGCCCAGTAAGCGCATTGATTATAGTCAGCCTACAGCAGACTTTCACTTTCGTCTGCGGGGCAGCCGAACTCCTCGTCCTAGGGGAATCGTCCGCCGCTGTTGAAGTTGTTCGGCGCCGGACGACGGATGGGCCGTCGGCTGCGGGCACGCTGGGCGAACCGATTACTGTTGGGCGGCATGTTACCCTGCTCCCGCTGCATGTTGCCCGGCGACGTCTCCCGCTGCCAGACGATCCGCTGCGGCCGGTTCTGGTTGTTGGGACTGCCGCCGCGCACTATGATGCGACCTCCGCGTCGCGTGGGCACCGCACTGCGTAGCGTGCGAAATCTGGTGTTCTCCGACGGCGACGTGGCCTCCGCCTCGCGACCCTCCTCCTTAAAAGACAGCGAAATCGATGAAGTTAGGATTCAGTTAAGCTAAAGTATCTTTAAACTAAACTATAGATACTAAGTACATAAAATGCGTCTGTCGTTTAAAGCACTTGTACTGGTTCGTCAAACAAATGAACAAATTAAAACATAATCTGAAAAACTAATTAAAATAATTGAAAATTTGCTTTTAAGCCCTTTAAAGAGCTAGAAAATACCCAATCCAAATATTAATTTACTTTGTTAAGTAGTTTGTGTAGTTTTCGCTTTGCTTGGTTAAGAAAACCTAGTGGTTTCATTAACATACAAGTTAAAAGAATTAAAATCATGAAATACTAACACTTTTTCGGGCTTTTAAGTTAAAATCATTAAAAAAAACAATACTAATCAATTGATTTGTAACCAGAGCAAAAAGCAATGATTTTAAGTAAAAAACATATTTTAGTATTTTAGCCAGTTTAGATTAAGCCACAAAAGTTGATCAATTTCGGACTTCAAGTTCTGTTTGTTCAAATACATGTTGAACAAATTAACAAAATTTGTTTTAAACCAAGAGTAATAGTTCCAAACGGGGGGTTAGTGGCATTAAAATGAAATTAGTTCCCATGCAAGGTCGCATTCGGACCAACCTGCTGCTCTCCACCGCCAACTAGCCACCAGAGAAAGTGGTGCTACTTGGGACAAGAACGCGTCCTTACCTCAACACCCACCGCCTGCTTCTCACCCTCGGACGAGACGCCATCGGCGCCCTCGCTGTCCTCGGTGGGGTTGCCCTCGGCGAGATTGGCCTGGTTATGGGACACCTCCGACTGGCTGGTGCCCACATTTGGATCTGCATGGGCCAAAGTGATCAGTTTTTCGTTCTATTCACACGTTTCGTTTACCAACTTACTATCGTTGCCCAGTGGCTGGGAGTCTTCTCCTTGGCCAGCGGCCAGTGTCTCCTCGGCGAAGGCCTCGTCCGCCTCGCTGGCGTTCTCCGCTCCTCCAGCGAGCTCACCCTCATCGGCTGTTTTGTTGGCATCGCCGCTGCCGCTGCTCTCGCCTGCCTCGCCCTGTTTTTGTGGCGAACTGGCAGTAGCGGCTCCCTCATTGCTGGGCCCTGCGCTGTCGTGGGGAGCTCCCTCGGCCACCTCGGCGGTGCCATCCACTTCGGCGCTCTCCAAGCGGGCGGCTGGCTGCTCACTGAAGTTCGACACCTGCGGTGAGCTAACAATCTCCACGGAGCTGTTCATAATAATCAATATGAAGTTACTTGTTTCCGAGACAAATCATTTATTCACCCACCTTTCGTTGCGTCTGGCCGCTGCCGAGGATGTGGATGCAGCTGCCTGTTTCCAGTTGGAGACCTCAGCCTGCGGCAGAGTCACCGGATTCGAGGACTCGCCACTGCCACTGGTGATGGCCTGGCTCTGGTTGTTCTCCTGCGCGGAAGCGGAGGCGGTGGCCACGGCCTGACTGTCCAGCGATTGGCTCTCCTCCTGCGCCTGCATGTGCTGCTCCGGTACCTCCTCGATGTCCACCTCGTTGTTGTCCTGGGCATCCACAGCTATGTCGTTGTCGTCGTCGGCACCCTCGTTGTCGTCCATCTCGTTGTCCTGCTCGTAGGAATCCTCGTAGCCCTCCTGTTCGGCCTCGCCGCCGTCGATGGGACCATCGTCCGCGTCGGCCAGCACGTCCTCCTCGTCGTCCGAGTCCACCACCTGAATGTCATCCTCCTGGTCGCGCTGCGAAGAGGTGGGCATCTGGTCGACATCCATGCCGGAGTCGCCAATGTGCCCGGCCGACAGTTCGCCACTGTGCATTGGGCCGCCACGAAGGCGCTTCGTCATCTTGGCCATCTTCTCGGGCCCGCCCTCCTCGTTGGTGGTGGAGGAGTCACCCTCGACGTCGCGTGGTCGCTTGATGCCCTGCGACGAGCAGCCGGCCTGGGTGGTCGTCACATTGCTGCTGGACGGGGTGTGCCTGCTGTGGCTGCTCACCACCGTGGAGGAGCTGCTGCTGCTGCCCGAAGTGCTGGGCAATTGGCTCTGGCTGCCGCCATCCTGGACACTCGGCGCAGTGGCATTCGGCGCCGACGTGGAGCTGGACGACGACGAGGATCCCTCGACGCGCGGCGAAACCAGGGCCACCACTTGCTGCTGGGCTCCGCCCACGAACAACTGCGAATCGTTTTGCTGCGGATGCTGGATGCTCTCCGCCTCCTGGGAACTTTCGGCCGCGGATGTGGCGCCCATCGGCGGAATGGCAGCCACGGCCACCGAGGCCGAGCTGGTCGATGGCATGTAATCGGTGTGCGAGGATGTGGGCGAAGAGGAGGCCATCGACTCCAGGGCACCACTTCCAGTGGTGTGAACCTGCTGCTGGGGCGGCACCAGAGCGGTCTGGGCCACCGCCGAGCTGCCGCCGCTGGCCGCAGCCGAGGTGGTGGACGTGGACGAAGAAGATGACGACGAGGAGGTGGACGCACTGGAGCCAGCCGGCGGCTGCTGGCTGGTGGGCAGAATGGCGGCCGTGCGACTGTTCTGCACCGAAATCGGGCGGATGCTGGCCAACGGGGTCTCGCCGCCGCGCCACGGAGTCACGGTGGCCGACTGCTGCACCGTGGCCGAGCCGGACATGGGCTTCACGTTGGCCGTGCGCGGCGAGCTCTCCGAGATGTTGCCCTTCTCGGCCACGGAGCTGGTCGACGGCTTGGTGGACTGCTGCGAGCCCAGCTGGCGCGTCAGCTGGTTGATTCTCATGTGCAGCGATTCGTTTTCCCGGGTGAGCCGCTGGTTGATGTCCTTGTTGGCGGCTATATGGTCCTGCAGCTCCTTTTCCAGGCGGGCGATGGTCTCGTCGTAGGAGGACTTGGTGCCGGCAAAGGTGGTCTCCTGGTTGGCCAAGTCGGTACGAGCCACGGTCAGATCGACCACCAGTTTGTCCAGCTTGGCCTTGTACTCCTGGCGCACGGCGGTGACATCCGTTTCGGGCTCAGGGCGTTTCTTCAGCTCCTCGTTTTCCTTGGCCAGCTTTTCCTGCTCTTCCTTCAGTGCTCTCAGTTGGCCATTGACCTCCTCCAACTCGGCGCGAACCTTCTCCAGCTCGGCGATGGTCTCGGCTCCGCCGGTTTGGGCCTGCAGTCCCATGTAGTAGTCCTTGTAGCGCTTGGCCAGCTTGCGCAGCTGCAGCTCCTTGGTGTCCTTGTCCGCCATGGCCTTGTCCTTCGTCTCCAGCTCCTCGTTGGCCTTCAGCAGCTCCTCCTCCTTCTGGAGCAGGCGGTTCTTCAGCTCCATGATGTCCTGCGTGTGGCGCGTGTTGCTCTGCTTGAGATTGGTGGACTCGTCCGCCTGCTTCTTGCGCGCCTCGTCCAGCAACTGCAAGTGCTTGTTCAGCGACGGAATCTCCGTGTCCAGGCGCTGCTTGAGCAGGGCCAGCTCATCCGCCTGCTTCTTGCTCAGCTCCTTCTCGGCCGTGAGCAGCTTGGCCAGGTGCTCGCGCTCGGCCTGCAGTCGCTTGAACTCCTCCGGGTTGCGGTTGCTCTTCTCCACCAGCGCATTGGCCCGCTGCCGCCACTTGATGGCCTCGGTGCGCAGCGTGTTGTTCTCCCCATTGATCTCCTCGACCTTCGAGGACAGCTCCTTGTTGCTGCACTGCAACGGGAACAGCTCCTTCTCCACACTCTTGATGCGGTTGGTCAGTTCGGCGACGGTCAGGCTCAAGGCATTGCGCTCCTCGCGCAGGATGCGATTGCTGTCGGTGATAGCGTCCAGTGTCTCGATCTTGCGCAGCACCTCCTCGTGCTTGTGGGTTGAAAACATGTTGGTCTGATTCTTGGCGCGCTCCTGGTTCAGAAAGCCATTCAGCTCGTCCAGCTTCTTCTGCTGCAGCGTGTGCTCCGACACGAGACGTGCGTTCTCCGCCTTCAGGATGTCCAGCTTGGCGGCGAACAGATCCTTCTCCTTGCGCACGAACTTGATGATCTTCAGCAGCTGCTCGTTGTTCCTGCCCTCCTCGCCGCCGGCCAGTCCAGAGGAATTCAGGCTCTGGTCCGCATCCACGCTAGATTCATTGAGGGAAGCGTTCGGGTTTTGCACTTGACTGGCCAGGACAGTCAGCTTGGTGGCCAGCGCTTCGATCTGATCATGCAGACTGGCATTGAGGGCATGCAAGTCGGCCACGCGCTGCTCCGACTGCTCCTTCTCCTTGTCCAGCAGCTTCTGGGCCTCGGCATTGGAGCGCAGCAGCTCGTCGTAGGCGGCCTGCAGGGATGCGCGACCCGACTTCAACTGATTCAGCTCGTCGTTGACCTTGTAGAACTCCGCCTTGAACCGGGTCAGCTCCTGGATGTCCGCCGAGTGCTGCACCATGCCGTTGGCGTACTTCACCTCGACGGCACTCAGGGACTCGGCCAGAGTGGTGTTCTCGGCACGCAGCGTGCGGATGGTGCGATTGGCCTCCGTCAGCTTTTCCAGCACACTCTTCAGCTCCTCCTGGGCCATCTTCAGCTGGCCGGACTGGTTGACAGTCTTGCTCTGCTCGGTGACATTGGTCAGCATGGCCTCCGCCTCCAGGTCGGCGATGCGCGTCTTCAGCTCCGCCTCGGAACTTTGCAGCGCCTTGATCTGCTCCTCCTGCTTGGCCACCAGTTCGCTGTGCATGTCGTGCAGCCGCTTGATCTCACTCTCGGCACTCTGCGACATCTTGTAGAACTGCTCGCCATGCTCGCGGGCATTGGCCAGCTCCTTGGTGAGCGATGCGATCTCCACGAGGGCCTGTTCCAGTTTGAGCTCGAATTCGCGGGCTCGCTTGTTGGCCGCCGAGATGGGATTATCGTTGATGGAGGGCGTGAGGCTGTCCTGTAGCTTTTTGCTTAGCTCATTGACCTGGGTGACCTTCTTGGCCAGCTCTTCGCGGACGGCCGCCAGCTCCGCCTGCCACTTCTCGGCCTGCTGCCTCTCCTCCTCTTTCAGCTTGGTGGCCGTCTCCGCCTGTCGCTTGAACTCGTTGATGGACTCGCGGAACTTGTCCTCCTCCTCCTGGAAGTGGCGACGCTGGGCTGCGAGCTCGCGCACCGTGTCGTCCAAACGCTGCTCCAAGCGCTGGCGTCCCTCCATTTCGGATCGTTCCAGGTTGGTCTTTATGAACTCCAGGCTGTTCAGGAGCAGCGACTGACTCTGCTGTTCGCGGTGGTAGGTCTCCTTCTCGATCTGCAGGCGGGCGGCGGTGTCCTTGAGGATGCGGCTCTCCTGGCGCAGGCTGTGGGCCTCCGAATCGGCAGCTGCCTGCTTGCGGTGGGCGTCCATCACCTCGTCCTTGAGCATGAGCACGGTTTGCTCGTGCTTGACTATGGTCTTCTCGTAGCACTTCGTGCGCTCCTCCAGAGTGCTCACCTGCTGCTTGTAGGTTTCAATGTTGGTGTGCAGCATTTTGATCTGCTCCTTCTGGAATTCAGAGGCATTCATCATCTTGCAGTTGCTGCTGGTCAGCTCTCGGAGCTCCTTGCGCATGGCGTCGAACTGCTCCTGGGCAAGGGCGTCGTTCTTGCGCTTCTCGCTGGTGTAGTAGTCGTAGTTCTCCTTGAGGGCGGCATACTTCTTGACCTCCTCCTCCAGCTGCTGCTCCAGCTGGCGCACTCTTAGCTCCAGCGCGTTTTTCTCCTCCACCTGGGCGTTTGACACCGTTGAAGTGTCCAGCACAGATTCGTTGAGCTGCAGATTGGGATCGTCCAGGTCGACAGTCTTTTGGCCCAGCTTCTTCTGGGCCGCGAAGTAGAACTTTTTGTAGCGATCACACTTGGAGAGCAATGTGGTTATGGTGTTGTTCTTCTGGGCAACGATCTCCTCCATTTCGGCAAATCGTTCGTTCAGCTTCTTCACCTGTTTCTCGGACTGCTCCAGCACGATCTTGTCGTTATGCTTTTCATTGGCCTCCAACGCTTCGGCAAGGTCGCGGGATACAGCCAGCAGTTGGGTGTTTCTGTCGACCAATTCCTGTATGGAAGCGAAAGTGACCAGGGTGTCGATGACACCATCGCTGGAGGTTGGCTCAGATAGCGGCTTCCTGCGGACGCTGGCTACTCCGGCCCTCAAGCAGTTGAGCTCGTCCAGCAGCATGCACACCTGGCGACTGAGGTCGCTGTGCGTCTGCTTAAGCTTCTTGTTCTCCTTCTGGCAGTGAGTCAGGTTGCAGACGGTTCGTTCCAGCTCGTGCTCCAAGGAGATCTTCTTGTCGGCCAACTCATCGTGCTCCTGCAGCAGCTGGATGTGGTAATTTTTCAGCTTCTGCAATTCGGAGTTCTGTTTCTCAAACTGGGGAGCATTCTCGTTGAGCTCGTCAATAATGGACTTGACCTGCAGCCGCAACTGCTCGTTCTCGCGGTTCCGCAACTCCAGCTCCTCGCAGTTCTTGGCGTACATGGAGTAGAGCTCGGTGAGCGAGAGATCGGTGCGCATGAGGCGACTGGCCACCGCCGCAGTGGGTGCCAGCTTGCAGATGGCGCTCTCCAGGGTGCTCTCCTGGGCCTCCTTCAGCAAATCGTTGGCGCAAACGAGCTGCCGCTGCAGATCCTCGATCCGCTTGTTTTTCTCTTCCAATTCGGTGACGTGTGTTTGCTTAAGGGCCGCCATTTCCTCCTCTAGTTTTTCGTTCAGCTCACCGGACTCGAACAGCATTCGCTTTACATCGGCGATGCCTTGGAGCAGCTCCTCCCGCTGGTTCAAGTGATCGGCCTCAGTGGTCTTGAAGATATGGAACAGCTTCTCCTTGGCATCGAGCTCCTTCTTCAGCATCTCCACGTACTCCTCCGTGGCCTGGTTCTGCTTGTAGGTGACATCGTGTTGGGCCTCCAGCTTGCGGTTCATTTCCTCAATGGTAGTGCTCGCCTGTGCATATTGTCTCTGCACCAGATCCAGGGCGTCGGTGGTGTCCTTGAGGCGCGACTCTAGGTGCATGGTTTGCAGCGAGTGCTCCCGCCGGATGTTCTGCAGCTCGGAGCTTTTCCGGTTCAGATCGGCGTTGAGCAAATGATTCTCCTGCTGCAGCATTTTGCGTTCGGTCTCCATGCGGCTCTCCCTGTATTCGAGGGCCGCCTCCTTGCTCTGGATCTCGTCCACGCGGGCAATGATCTCGCATTTGGCGGCGATGGCCGCTCCCAGCTGCTGCTTGAAGGTCTCGACGTCCAGCTTCAGGCGCTCCACCTCAGCCTGCTTGTGCTCGATGACCTTATTCTGCACATCGAGCTCCTCGACGGCCGCGATCTTTTCCTTACGCAACTGGGCCACGTTCTGCTCCCAGCCCTTGACCGTCTCAACGAGATGGGACCGTTCCGCGGACACTTGGTCCAGCTGGGTGCGCAACTCATTGACATTCAGCTCAAAGTTGTTGAACTTGACCAGGTAGTCCTCCATCTTGTTCTCCAGATCTTCGCTTTTTTGCTCAGCTTCGGCTGTGAAATGCGTATAAATTCATTAGTCATTGGATTTGACTTCATTTTGTGCAGTAAACAGCATGAACAATGGCTTCGTTAGTTTCCATAACATACAACTACTTTTATTCAAATTACCTTGATTATTTCTCTTGGGAGAATTGTAAAAGTTTTAGGCTTCTAAATTGGCACACTCAGAAAGAAATGTCGACTAGCAAATGAATTAGCACACTTTTACGAATGCAACGTGTTTCCTGCAACTGCAACCTTATGACTTAGCAAAATCTTCGCTCTTTGACAGCAATTGTCAGCTTCTAGAGGCGGAAATAGATACTACGATATACTCTCCATCTTTTAGAGTCAGGTTGAAAAATTTGTTTTTATCAAGAATGACAGAAGACCAACACTTTAAGAACACTTGAAGAGTGTCAAAACACAGAAAATCGTCATTTATTGATAATGTCAGATGCTTTTTAAATGTCTCATTACATATAAATTTCACCTTTATAGGCGATTTAAAAACTTTAGAGAGTTAAATATTGCGGCAATTCAAATAGCGGCAATTCAAATAATTTAGCGGGAAAAATGGCCATGCCAGTGTGACCATACCAGCGGCAGGTAAAAGTGACCCACAAAAAAGAAATATGCAGCAGCCATTGTTTTTGCCAAGAGCCAGAAGCCGGAAAATTAAACAAAATGTATAATAGCAATTCTTGCTGTGTACAATTGATAACTGGCTGCATATTTGATATAAAGCAAGTTTGGAATTCGAGCTTAGACCAGTATTTGCAGTGTTCTGCAAGCTACAGGTAGCGCAAAATCTACCGGCAAGACATGCAAAATGGGAGCCCCAAAGGTGGACACACATACCAAACTAATATACATAGATGTATGTATATTATTTACAAGCGAGAATTATGTGTTTGGCAGACTAAATAACTAAACTAGATAATAACTTACCCAGGCGGTTGGCGGCCGCCCGCTCCTTGCAGTACTCATCCGAGAAATTCTTTATGTACGCCGACAATTTCTTCTGGACGTCATCCGGCACGAGTTTCAACTCGTCGGGCTGAAGTATTTGGTCCAGAGTTTGTGGACCGCTGAGATCCATATTCGCACCTTATTCCTTGTCAAGCAGTGGTGAAATTTAAGTGGAGCGGTGCGAAATGTACAAAATATGCTTAGTTTTCTGTGAAATGTGCAGACATTCAGCCGCGGATGAGACGCGAAAAACAGAGTGACCGTGGGTGGAGTGCGGAATAATCCAAGAGTGGAGAAAACCTATCTACTCACACGACAAGTAAAAACGATAAGTGCGGCTGTTTTGCAACACTGGTTGTAAATTTCGAATTCAAATGTTCATATATTATTAACTAAAACAAATAAATCAAGACGATTAAATATACAATTTTTTTAAAAATATACAAAAAAATAGTTTAACAAATAAATCTCGTCTAAACATTAAATTGGCGTTAAGTAAAGAAATATATGATTTCTATAAGATTATAACACAAAATTATTTAAATAATTGATTTGTTTAATTTTGTAAGAGCTAAATAAAATAAGCAATTCATTTTAAATTGATATATTTTCTAAAAGGTTTGAAATGCAATGAAATCCACAATTTCGTTTTTCCTTTTTATTTGGTGTTTATTTGGTAATTCTCTTTTTGGGTAAATGTCTCACAACAACTATTTTAACTCTAGGGTAATGTAATGCGATGTTCTGAAGTCAAGCCACCGATCTGCCTATATAGTCTCTGTTTTATTTGTTTTTTTTTTCCTGCAACACTTTGAGTCCGTTCTGATATGGGCATGCGACACCTAGAACTATAGTCGGCCTATTTAACCATCTACTCGGGCATGGAAATATGCCATGCATGTCCCATTGGACAGAGCATGGATCGTAACTATCATATTATAAAGTTATGTACGGGTATTTGTAGTTCATGTCTTTTTAACTCAGTTCTTTTTGCGCAACTTTTGGTGCTCAGTTGTTGGTTGGTTGTTTTTTTTTTTGTTTGGTTTCTTCGTTTGAATCTCATCTCACACATCCGTTTGCTGTTTGCTCAACCGAAGGATAACAAGCGATTGGGTGCCAGTGGGAGTGGACATGGGCATGGATTGGATAAGATTAGGATGAGTACGTTACGGATAGTATTAATAGTAGTAACTGGTAGAATCAGCAATATCGGTGAGGCATTCGAACTCTGAAACTCAGGAACTCAACTAGTATTTGATCGCTACTAAAACACGATTAACTTATGGGTCAACCAACTAATGTCCAACTACCTATTCCTAGGCCTCCTCGCAATCCTCCTCCTCCTCCTCGCGCTGGACGAACAGCCGGTGGTTCCGGGCCTCCAAAATGGACCACACGACCAGCGGCGTGCAGCCGAGCACCATGCAGGATCCCATGCAGTAAAAGCAGATCTCGTAGTCTCCGGAGAGGTCCCTCAACAGACCCGCCAGCGGTGGCACCGAGATGGCCCCGATGCTCTGGAACATCCGCACCAGGCCATAGCTCGAGCTGATCCTGTCCGTCCCGAACACGTCCGCCAGGAGCACGGGCATCAGCACATACCAGCTGCCCAGGCACAATCCGTAAACCGCAGCCGACAGACCCACCAAAACCAGGGTCTTGGCGAAGGGAATCGTGAGCACGGCACATCCAGCGCCCAAAATGCTGTTCATGTACGGAAAATACTTTAAATATAAATCGTCAATTTACTTTTTGAGTCCACTCACCACAAAGTGTAGGTCTTCTTGCGATCAAAGAGCTGCAGATCGCACAGCCATCCCAGACCCAGGCGGCCTATCAAATCCAGGACAGCACTGATGGCTACCAGGTAACCCGCCTCGCTTTTATTGTAACCTGAAAAGCACAGCAATAATTTAGAAAAATATTTAAAAAAAAAATTAAACTGTTTATTTTGTCCAGAGAAATTGGAAATGCAAGGCAATACCTCTAAGTTTAGATATAAACAAATATTCAAAAGCAAAAATGCATAAAAGCATAAGCCTTTACAATATTTAGAGTGCAGTAACTTCTAGCAATTTCTTAAAAATATATTTCCTAATATGTGGCTTTAAGGAACCCAAAAGAAAATATATATCAATTTAATATGGAGGTTAAAAACGTAAAAGTTCAACCATTTTGAAATTAAAAAAACATTTTTTCATGCATAACTGATGTTTTTAAAAATGCTTTCCAAAAGGAGTAATATTAATTATATTGAAATTTTACTCTAAAGTTAAAAATGTAAACTAGCCAAAAAATAATAATAGACTTAGCTTAATTTGTTTTATATTTTTTTTAAACGTTAATTTTTTTTTTTTATCTAATAAATTCTGAGTTATGCTCTATTCTGTACAAAATATTTCTTTATAGAAAGAAAGTAAAATTTAGTTACAAAAATATGGTTAAGAAATCATAAATGACTAATGGCTAATGTAATATTTCATTCCAGGACTCACCTATTGAGATGACGTGGGCGGGCAGGTAGTACAGCATGTAGGGACACCCCACGGACATGAGGGTTACGGAGAGGCACATCAGGATGAAGCTCGGGTCCTTGAGCAGGCTGATGTCCAGGTACATCTCGATGCGCTCGCAGCAAGTGCGTGGTCCTTGCTCCTCGTCGTCCTCGTCATCCTCGTCGGCGACACCGTGGCAGTCGCCATCGATGGACTCCACCAGCTGGGAGTCGAGGATCCCGTTCTCGGCCTGCTCCGGTGGCTGCAGCTTGAGATCGCTGAGGTTGCTCACCGGCGTGGGAATCTCCATGCTCTTGCTCAAACCGCGACTGACCACACTCGGCGGCGAAAGGGGCTTCTCCAGGTGAGCCTGAATCTTTGAGATCACCTCATCGTTGGCGAAGACATTGCGCCGACGACGACTGCCCCGATTGGAGTCCGTGCCGGAGTGTTTGCGGTACACCCAGGTGGAGTCCGTGCTGAGATCCTCCACAGAGTGCAGCAATCCGGAGCTACGCACCTTCTTCATGGGCTTGATGAAGGTGGTCTCGCCAATGATGTCCTTCACCTCGTCATCGCTCTCCTGGGCAGATTTATCATGGGCTAATGTATAGAATGAGATTTAACATTTATAAATGTACAAAAGATCTGGCTACACCACCTGGCTGCTTGCTGGAATAGTAGTTAAGGTGGTTCTTGGACTCCTCCAGGAACAGGTGCTCGATGAACTTGTCGCTCAGCTCGTGGCCCGGCCCCACCTCGCAGGTGTCCAGGTACGTGGAGGTGGTCAGGATGCCCGTGGTGCTCGGATTGATGTCCTCGTTGAGCGGCTTCGCGGTCTCCTCCTGCCCCTGGCCCGAATCCTGATCCGTGTATGCACTGATCGGTCGATACAGGGTGGCCGAGAAGCACACGTGCAGCATGCAGACGCCCAGGATGAGGATGGTGCCATGGAAGCCACAGTTCTCCACCAGGTGCTTTATCAGCACGGGCAGGATGAAGCTACCAGCTGCGGTGCCCGAGACGCAGATTCCATTGGCCAGGGCTCGGTGCTTGTCAAAGTATTGCGACACTATCACTATGCCAGGAGTCGTCGAAAGTCCTCCTCCAATTCCTGTGATGGAAATTCAAAGAAGAAGTAATATATTTTACCCTAATCTTAGAAAGTTTGCCTTTTAAAAAAAATAAAACCAACATTGTAAAATTCTATGGAATGTTGTACACATTTTTTATATTTTTAAGAAGGTTTTGTAAGCAATGCAAGCTTATGGTATATTGCCCTAAAAGATTATTTTTGAACCCCCTTTTTTCAAGAATTAGCATGTCTTTAGTTCTAAAGCTATATAATAATAAAATATAACATAATATATTATAAAATTCAAATAGTTAATAGAATACACTCATAATTTAGTTTTGAAAAGGTTGAAATCTTATTTCAAACGTACAAAAATCAGAGTTAGTAAATATTTAATGCTCTTTTGCAAAGGTCTTTTCAAATGAAAATAATATGAAAGAAATATGATATATTATTTTAGAAAAATTGTTTAGTCAAACATTAAGGTGAATTTCGTTATTTTTGGCTTTTAGATGAGCGCACCCCACCCACCCACCTGTGAGGATGCCAAAGGTGAAGAGCAGGTGCAGCAGACTGGTGGCAAAATAGCTGAGGATCATGCCCATGGCGCAGAAGATGCCGCCCACGAAGACGACTGCGCGGCAGGAGAATCGCTGGCACAGGGCACTGGAGAGGGGAGCGAGGACCAGACAGAGCGCGGAGAGAATCGCCGGTATCCAGGAGGCCACCGTGGCCGTGGAGCTGGGAAACGTCTCCATAATCTCGACGTACAGCACGCCGTACGACTTAACCAGTCCGGCCACCCAGAATTGCACGGAGAAGGCACCGAAGACGATGAACCAACCGTAGCCGCCATCCGGTGGCTCCACATTGCCACCACCACTTTCCGTTGTGGTCGTCGAGGAGTCGCGATCCTTGGCCACCGGCTTGCTCCGCTTGGGAACGGCCACGCGATCCCGTTCCCGCTCCTTGGCCCGCCGGACGCACCTGCTCCGGGCCGTGTTCAGACCAGTCCCGGATCCGGATCCGGATTTCCGACTGCTGCGCAGCTCGTGCGACTTGGCGATCAGCGGACGCGCCGTGATGCTGGACACGGTCAGCAGGTTCTCGTTGTCGTCCTCCTCCAGCTCGGAGATGTGGTGCTCCAGCAGGCTGGCGTGCAGGGTCCTCGGGCAGCAGGGCGTGTCCAGGCTGAGGGTGGCGGGTCGTCGCATCGGCGAGGCGTTGGGCGAACAGCAGCCGGAGTGGAAGGTGGCTGGCATGCCCATACCCAGTGCCGCCAAGTGCTGGCCATCCAGCTCGGTGGGCACGACGATGTCGGGCAGTGGAGCCGGTGGCGCCGACACCACCGAGAACAGGGAGCCGCACTCGAGACCACCGCCAACTCCGCCAGCGGACACGCCCCCCGCCCACGCCCACGCCCGCCCCTCCGCCGGAGCCCTCGGCCGGATTCGTGTGGAGAAGGCGCCCTCCCGACTCGTACTGGACTCCACCAGCTGGGTCCGGTTCACTCGCGCAGTAAACCGATCCCCGGGAACCCTGAAAGCAGAAGAAACACATTTCACTTTGCTAGTTCTATAATTGGTATAAAATTTAATTTAAAAACATTATTTTATGAGTTTTAAATCTAACGATTCCTTTAATCGTTTTTTAAGAAAAATAAAATTTTTTACTTTTGAACCTACTCCAAATGCTTTAAATAAATTTA